GAGGTTCTAGAGAGCTTCATGACAACAGAGCCAGTGAAGCGCAGAGCAGGTCCCTTTGGTTTCGTGTAACAGTCACACAACTCTATGCGAACGCGCTCTTATCAGTGCCAAGGAACCTGGAGAGGAAGGATTTGTATAAAGAGGGAACCATATGATTAAATGTCCGCTAAATTTTTCCACAAGTTCCAATTTTGATCTTCCACAAAGAACAACAGCTATGAATGCACATTAGATGGTGTCGACAGTTCAACAGGAACCAAAGCCATTTTATGGTTTGGCTTCATGTTTTCTAGAGCCTAGTCAGTGTTGCAGGCAGCTTGGCCGAGTACCTTCAATGCACAATAATCGATACTCGTGGTATACCAAGAGAAATTACACTTGTCACTTAAAGGCTGTGGTGTACTGAGAAAATATAATTGACCCGCGGGATATTTCACGGTATACCACTCAAAAACGTTGCATAACTAATATATATTTAATAAAAATGCGTAAAAGAGATACTCACAATTTTAGACCAGTCATCACCATTCTTGGAAATGAAAACGTCATAAGATGTCACCCAGGAATCCAAGTCAAACCATACTGTACCATACCACACTTTTTTATTCACTAACTCGCGCAATCCTTGTGTGGCAATCGCACAAATTTCCATTTCAGTGGGCAGCTGGATCTCTAAATAATCCAGGGATTCATTTTTCGCACACCATGCCTTCGGGCCATTAAGTCGACCGTTCGATGCGGCATAATTATCTCCAGCGTCAGATGAAGCCGAGAAGCTGGAATCCGGCAAAGGACCTCCAAACGAGGCACCAACAGGCTCACATGGCGGAGCTAGTAAACAATTCAAAAAAATCTAAATATTGGCCAGAGAACCTTTCAATCTTAAATTTATGATAACCCATGCCAACCTTGATCGTTCCCAGCAATGGGAGGGGTTGGGGTACTCACATATGAAAAGATCGGGATGCACGTCCAAAAATTGGAATTAAACCCCTAAAACATACCCATCCGGTTTGGTTCGAGCTTTATTTGACTCCTAAAGGATACCAATTCTTTTATTATTTTTTTTCGAGTGCCCCTTAAAAGATACAAGAAGTGCCTAATACCCAGGGCATTGTCCGGAGGAGATTTTGATAAAGAAGCTTGATGCATAAGAGTTAGACCCCAAGTTGAAATAGCAGCACTAGTGATCCAAGGTAACATGCAGACACTCGAAGATAGACTCAATGCCAAGCAAGAAAGGATACAGAGGATGCGAGAGTTACATTGTTGTATTAGCAATCTAACGCAAATTAGTTTTGGTTATACGAAAACCAATAAGAAAGCTAGAAATTCATTAACTATTATCATAGATGATTATCTCAGTCTTCTCCTGCTTCATGTTATCTGGAGTCTTACCTGATGCAGCAGTTATTTTTTCTTCAGTTGGTGCTGCAGTTATTTCCTCGGGACCTAAACGAAGCAAAAATGACTAACGTGAACCTCGTTGGACATTACAGAAAATATAACAGGATAATCAATGACAAATCAGAAAATCAATAACAAACAGCTCAAATTTGACAATATTACAGATACTGATTATCCATTCTCCCACTCTATGTTATCTGGAATCTTACCTGGTGGAACAGCTGTTGTTTCTTCACCTGGTGTTGCAGTACTTTCCTCTGTGGCTGCATGAAACAAAAAAGACTAGCATAAACTTAACTGAACATTCCATAACAGACAAGAAGAAAAGTAAAAAGAAAGCTAGAATGTGATGACAATAGTTTGAATTTAATGATCTTTCATCTGTTTCTCCATATTGCGTTTGTAGCCTTACCTGGTGGAACAGCTGTTGTTTCTTCACTTGGTGCAGCGGTGCTTTCCCCTGTAGAAACGAAAGAAAGCTTCAGCGAACTGTAATGGGCAATCCATTTATAAATGGCCATCACAAATAGCCGTGATATAGGTAACTCAAAACTTTCAGTTTAAAAATGCAAACGAGCTTAATCCGGCGTATGATGATTATCTTTAATGAGAAAACGTTCGGCTGTACTCATAACTAACAAATGCTGTCTCTTTTCCTTCTCCATGTTGTTCGTAGTCTTACCTGGTGGAACAGCTGTTGTTTCTTCACTTGGTGCTGCAGTTGTTTCCTCTGTGGCTACGTGAAACAAAAAACACTGGCATGAACCTAACTGAACATTTCAAAACAGATAAGAAGAAAACTAATAAGCGAGCTAGAAAATCAATGTTTTAGTAACAGATATTTTGAATATGATAATCTTTTCTTCTCCTTCGCTGTGTTATCTGAGCTTACATGGTTTTCAAATTAGCAGCTAAAAACGTTTACTCTTAGAGCGTAAAACCAGAACGTAAAACTAGCACCAAACCAATTACTTACAAATAGACTTTCAAACTGTGATAAAACCAAACGCGAAATTAAGGTAATCAAAACGGCTTGATTACTATGAGCACTCAACAGGCCATGTTCGATATATCAATATTCTAACATGGCTCCGATGCTTTCAGGACAAACTTCTATATTTGGTGTTGTTTGTATCCAAGTCTCTTTTGGGAATAGAGAGACAAAAGAAACTTGAAAAATTTGCAATTTTGGCCCGAAAGCCTCGGAGCCATGTTAGAATATTAATATATCGAATGTGACCTATTGAAAACCACTCTATGTAGCTTGGTTTTCTACGCTATGATTATATTTAAAATATCTGGTTTTCATGCGGGTTCTCTGTCCTGGTCGAATTGTAAATTTGGAGACGTTGGTTTTTGTGGAGGGAGGAAAACCGGAGAACCCGCTGAAAAACCCTCGGAGCAAGGAGAGAACCAACCACAAACTCAACCCACATATAACACCGGGCCGGAATCGAACCCAGGCCCCATTCGTGAGAGGCGAGTGCTCTCACCAATGCGCCATCCCTGCTCCCCAAATATTTATTATTGAATAATACTGAATGATAGTCTTTTTCTCCACTCTATGTTGTTTGTAGTCTTACCTGGTGGAGCTGCTGTTGTTTCTTCACCTGGTGCTGTAGTGCTTTCCTCTGTTGTTCATAGAACAAAAGCAATAAACTTAAACCTTACTGAACATTTTATGACAGATAAATAAGAACAAACATCGTAACACTAGAAATCAAATAACAGAAAGTCAATTCAATTTATTAACATCACTGAGAAGAATCACCTTTTTCCTGCTTCATGTCATTTGGAGTCTTACCTGGTGGGACAGCTGTTGTTTCTTTAATTTGTGCTGCACCAGTGGTTTCCTCCGTAGCTATACAGGACAAAAAGAAAACAACCTTAATCATATCCTATTAAACCATTCATTTTTACAAAAATGTCTGATAAAATGTCGTGATGAATTCTACTGAAGGTTCGTAGTTAAGTACAAAGAACCCTATACGGTTGGTGCTGCAATGCTTTCCTTTGTAGCTACTTAGAAACGAGAGATCAAGGTACCTTACCTTGATCGTCTCTTGTTAGAACAAGATAAAACTTTCGTGGATTTTATAAACATTCCATTGGCTTACGAGTGATTAAAATCAGTGTCACGGTGTATTTAACTTAAAAATCAAAGCTAGCTTATGCCAGCAAACAATATCTTCGTTGATTTGTGAAAAAACGCAATTCGCCTATTAGAATAACTGGGAAGTATCGTCTCCCTCTCTTTCTCTTGCTTCATGTTATTGCTGAAGTTTTTCTTACCTGGTGGAGCTGTTGTTTCTCCAGTTACTGCGCCGACGGTTTCTTCTGTAGCTAAACGATGAAAAAGAAAACTAACGTGGATCTACTGAAAATTCCATTCGGCGGGAGTATTACAGTTAAAAGTACAGACGAGCCCATGCCTGCATGATGCCTATTTTTATTTTGCTAAAAGCAAAATACGCAACTGTTATCATCACTAAAAAGTACTGTGTCTTCTTATACTGCATGCTATTTAGTTTCGTACCCGGTGCAACAGCTGTTGTTTCTTCATTCGGCGCCGCAGTACTTTCCTCGGTCACTACACAAAACAACCGAGATAACAAATATCAGTCAGGTTATTGATGATGGTCGCAAATTTAATGTTATTAATGATTATCAAGCATTTGTTTCCATAATTTCTCTTCCTATCAGATAATTGGAAAATATGACATCAAGCAAAGGCGCATGTTTTTTGTGGTTATACATAAAGCTACATTACGTCATAATATCAGCACAGTTAATCTATGATTATTGAAATTTTGTGCGTAATATCACTCTTACTGTAAATGGTTTGAACCCAGGAGTATCAGTGGGTCCTCTTGTGTGATCGTCCGGGTGGGGGTAGTTCTACTAAAGAAAACTGTTGTTGGTGACTGACGTTTAGACAACCTGAGCGGTAGTCATCTTCATTTGTCGAAATTCACTTCAGTCACCAACAACAGTTCTTTTCAGAACTACCCTCTCCCGGACGAATCACTGATACTGATTTTGTTTTCTCCTGCTTCATGTTATTTAAGTCTTACCTGGTGGAACAGCTGTTGTTTCTTCATTTGGTGCTGCAGAGCTTTCCTCTGTGGCTACATGCAACAAAAGAAAACAAGAACTAGCACAAACCTAAGTGAGTATTCCATAACAGACAAGGAGAAAGCTAAAAATAAAGCATTAAATTTAATAACATATAGTTTGAAATAAATAATCTTTTCCTCTCCTTCTCCATGTTGTTCGTAGTCTTACCTGGTGGAACAGCTGTTGTTTCTTCACTTGGTGCTGCAGTTGTTTCCTCTGTGGCTACATGAAACAAAAAAATAGTGTAATCCTAATTAAGCATTTCATAACAGACAAGCAGGAAACCAATAAGAAAGCTAGAAATTCAATAACAGATAGTTTGAATTTAATAATCTTCTCCTCTTCTTCTCCATGTTATTTGCAGTATTACCTGGTGGAACAGCTGCTGTTTCTTCACCTGGTGCAGCAGTACTTTCACCTGGTGCTGCAGTACTTTCTCCTGTAGCGAAAAGGAACAAACACAAAAATAGCGTCAAATTTATTACACAAACCATTTGCTTTGAAGTTATGGTATATATCTCTGTAGGAGCACAGCCTTTTGTTAAAGAGCTCGCGGCGAATAAATGATCATAGTTAGTTGTTAACCTTGGTGAAAACGATATCTTGTCAGCTTTTATAATAACTTATAAGTGTCGTCTCTTGCCTTGGGACCCGGCCTACGTTATTCGCCCCTTTACCTGGTGGAACAGCTGTTGTTTCTTCATTTGGTACTGCAGTTGTTTCCCCTGTGGCTGTATGAAACAAAAGAAAACTAGCATAAACCTAACTGAGCATTCCATAACAGACAAGAAGAAAACTAAAAGAAAGCAAGAAATTTAAGTAGGTGACGAGTGATAAAAACATTCAAACATGCGTTTATCATGATTGTCATGATGTGACTCAGTGCTCCGTAACCAATCAACCCGATGGTGAAAAATATTTAAGGTACTCCAACCCCTATTAAGCGTCCACCTCCCATTTCCTGGCCAAGGGTGGCCGTTTAATCGGGGCTCGACTGTACTTAGACACATAATGTATAATGTCGCGATATAGATCACATGCGAGCCCAAGCCGGGCAATCGTTCCAATCTTGAGAAACGGTCCTTAATTATTATTACTAATATTGTTTTGGTTTTTTTCATCATACCTTTTGGAAATGGTGCTTGGGTTCTTTCTGTAAACAAATAAGCACACATTATTAGTATCATTCTGGTGAGAACCAAAGGTGAGCCACCGTATTTATTTTACTCTAAAACGTTGCTTATAATAATTTCTTCTTGTTTTTCTGTCTTAGCGAACTATTATCTTGAAGCAAGAGATTACCTAGATAATCTCTTGCTTGAAGTCACCATCTTCAAGTGCACAATGCATGCAAAAATGATTTCAAAAGTTTTTGACAGTGTATCTTCAGTTTTCTAATGAAGTGGGGAAGGAAGTGCACACAAAAGACCTGCACAATATGTCGAAACGATAGCATCTACAATAATGCAAAACATTCTGCTAATGTACCACAAGAAAACGTGAACGGTAATTAAGACTAAGTAATGCGGGCAACATCGTCTTTCCTCTTTTTATAGTTTGAAAAACCTCGTTGTGTGTATTACCAACCATGTTGCAATTTGCACAAAGTTAAACTCATGTCCACTTAGCGCTACCGTCATGTTTCCGCTGCTTGCAACACGGATGGTCATGCGCGCAACAACACTATGAGTTCCCACTTGCAATGCAACATTGTTGCACGACAAGTTGAAAGAAAATATTGCCAGTATTACGCGGCCTTTGTACAATATGTACCTTTTCCATACAACTCAGCTCTCAAACATATCCATCCTGCATACTGCGTTGGATAAATACGAACGTATCTGGCTTCTACAGGGACCGGTAATTCTTGTTTGGACGTTGATTTGGAGTCGTCGTTCCCCTTAAACATCTGTAAAAAATTTCGACAAATATAATCACAATCAAAAACCAAATACAATTCGATCCTTTAAAATGCTAAAGCTAGGAAATAGACAATAATGATCAACCAATCAGGTTATGGATTGCTGGAAGCTTGCGCAAACCTGACCGTGCAGTCTAGATCATTTTCGGAGTGCCTGGGATGACCGTCGGCAGACGTGAAGAACCTTTGTGTTCTTCGCGCTAACTTTGAAATCATTGCAGTTGTCACACACTAGTTACAACTTAAAGCACTCTGCTACATTCGTGTTTCATAATTTATAAAACCAGCTAAGTCTATATTTTCGGCAGCGATCTGTGCAGTCTTTCCTGCCCCGTACATAGTTCTAACGTTCCAAGTACCGAGCATAAGTTGTTGTCTTGGGGGTAAGGAGTGGAGTCGACCTCGTAACGTGCTTTCGGCTTTTACCACGGTGCGTCATACGAGTCTCCGAGGAGACGTTCTCTTGACCCAAGACTGATTTTGTGCCTGCTTCCTATGGTTTCTGTAATCTCGTCTATTCACTTGGTGGGTGATTGGCCCTCCAAGCTGCATTAGAGCCCCGTTAGCCAGGCAGGATAGCCATCGGCAACCGTTAAGAACCTTTCATGTGTTCTTCGTACTAACTTCGAAATCTTTGCAATTGTCACACGCTAGTTATAACTTCAAAGCACTCTGCTACATTCGTGTTTCATAATTTATAAAACCAGCATATATTTTAGGCTAAGAGCACTTGGGTGAATTTATTTCAGTTTTTAATACTGATGTAAATTAACGCAGTAAATTAACGCAATAATAAAGATGTTAAAGTTTCAAGTGTCCAAATAGAAAGTTACTTTTCATTTACTTTTGCATGGTTATGGAATATCGAATTGACTTAACCGACAATGGGTACTGTGTAATATATCAAACACGAAAGACCATGTCTGGCTGCATTTCCTAACACCGAGAAGAGAGTTGAAAATACGACGCGCAGCGGGGTATTTTTGATGAACTTCGAGGTGTTTGGAGATGTGAACAAACACTGCAAACACTGTCATGAGTGTGTGATTTATCTTCTCAATCGAAACTAAGGAGAAAACGGAGAAATAGAATCGTTAAAATCTGTGCTAATCATTGAGATAATATATCTAAACGCCGTCGAAATCATGATTTCCTTTGTTTAAACATGATGAATTATTAATTTTCGATGGCTATATCTTTACGAAGAACGTGGACGTATTGGCATGGATTCTCTGCGACTTACGTCGATTCAGTTTATTAGTTACGTAATGTCAATCACTGTTAACGTTTCTTCCGAGTTTTAAGTAGAATTCTACTCGTATACCAATGCAAATGCTGATAACTGATTGGCTGAGCCATCGTGCACTGTCACGCATACATGTAAGCGCGCAGAAGCTGGAAGTCGTCAACACAAAGGTAAAGTTTTTTCGTTTCTCCGATCTTAAAAACTCTTTTTCCTTGGCCATCGTAGCTTTAGAAGAAACAAAACACAAACCGCGGTGTTTAACATGCGTTTTGGTTCCATGTTTATCACCGCGGTTTGTGTTTTGTTTTTTCTCCGATCTTTTAAGGAAGATTTAAAAAAAAAAAACTAGATAATTTAATTTCCAAAAACACGAAGGAAAAGAAATTGACCGTTGTGCGACTTACAAAAATTGAAAGTTATTCATTCAACTGGATGAGCGCGTGATGACGGCTGCAAGTTTCAAGCAACGATTCTATCTGCACGCAATTTTGTTCCGGAAAAGCTGAAAGTTTAATGCTACTTTTAATATGTAGAAAAATAATTGCAAAACGTTTTTTAAAAAACGGAAATTTAATAA